ACGTTCCGTTCCCAGAACTTGATGTGTTGAAGGTACCAGGACAGAACAGAGTTTAATTCAAATATTTTTCCATCTCTTCACACAGAAGCTTATCCCTTAGTTAGTCTCTCTGGAACAGTCACAGGAGAGCTTTAGGAGATGGTGATTCGCATAAATTTCTTAACCATTGGGAAAAAGATCAAGAACTAAAATGGAAAAATTATTGATTTTAGAATCGGATCTTCTATGAATCAGCCTTGAAAAATCAGTTACACGTTTTCTCGACTTGCTTTCCTTATCTGTAACATGAGGGTGTTGGACTAATAGGTTCCACTGAGCTCCGAAATGTAGTTCTGCATCGAAATTCATGTGGAAATTGAAGCCTTCTAAAATAACCATGACATGGCCCCTTATGTGGACTGGACACATTTATGTTATGAGAGAGAGAAAAAACTCATTTTTAAGGTACACTTGTGATGAGTACAGAATCTTGACTAACACATTATTTCATAGTTGTAACTGATTTGCCCAGAAAACTGGTCTTAAACATGTTGGTTGTGAATAGATTGCCTTTCAGGAGAACCACCTTAGCCTGAGTATAAACATTTTGTAGGTAAATGTTGCAAATATATTTTCCGATATTTTTGACTAGGAAAGAAAGATGCATGATATAGTGCCAAGTATTAGGATTCCCTCCCAGCTTCTATCTAGTAAACCTTCTGGGGATTAAATATCTTATTCATGCCATCAGGCAAATGCAAGTAAAAACCACAATGAGGTTTCACCTCTCCCCAGATAGAATGGCTATCATCCAAAAATCAAAAACCACCTAAGAATAATTGTGTGTTAAAGAGTTCAACCAACGGTATTAAGTAGAACAAAAAAATACTAAAAGAAACCCCTGTTAGATATAAGAGTGAGAATAAGAGAGGGAGGAGATGTACAGTTCGGCACATGCTCAATGGGATTTACCCCTAATGGTAGAGCTAGAAGTGTGCCAAGGGATTCCAAATCAATCCCATCAACGTGGCATGTACCAATGCCATCTCACTAGTCAAAGTGATCAGTTTAAGTTCACAATAGATCATACTGATAGGTTTAAGAGTCAAAGGGATCACACAAACAAGACTAGTGTCTGCTAATACTAACTGATAGAGAATGATCCAAAATGGGAAGCAGGATACACAGCAGACTCATAGAATGGCAAATGCCCTAAACAGCACTCTGGCCTCAGAATCAGCCCTTTAGGCATTCAGATCTGGCTAAAAAGCCCATGAGAATATCTCAGACACGGAAAGCCAAGACACTATGGCAAAAAAATGACCTAAATGAAAGATCTCTGTGAGTGAGATCCCAGTGGAAAGGATGGGCCATCAAAGGAGGAGGTACCTTTCTCTGAAGGGAGGAGAGAACTTCCACTTTGATTATGGCCTTGTCTAAATAAGTTCGGAGTTGGTGAATTCAAGAGGCTTCCATAGCCTTGGCAGTTCATGATAAGAGCCTCGGGTGATTACTGATGTCACAAATAAGAGTGTCAATTGTTAAAACAACAACAGGAGTCACTGTGCACTTACTCCTCATGTAGGACCTCTGACCTTAATGTGTTGTGCTATGAGAATTAGTGGTAAAACTAGTACTCAAATAGTACTTAATAGTTTGTGTCTCTGTGTGGGTGCAAACTGTTGAAATCTTTACTTAGTATATACTAAGTTGATCTTCTATATATAAAGATAATTAAAAATGAATCTTGATGAAGAATGGGATGGGAGAGGGAGTGGGAGATGGGAGGGTTTCAGGTAGGAGGGAGGTTATGGGAGGGAAAGCTGCTATAATCCAAAGGTTATACTTTTGAAATTTATGTTTATTAAATAAAAGTTTTTTAAAAAGCTAAAAAAAAAACCCAAAAATCAAAAAACAATAAAAGCTGGTGAGGATATGGGGGGAAAGGTACCCTTTACACTGTTGGTGGGAATGTAAATTACAAACATGGAAGACAGTATGGCGATTCCTCAGAAAGCTAAAAAATGATCTACAGTATAACCCAGCCACCCCACTCCTGGGAATTTACCCAGAGGAAAGCAAATCAATGTATGAAAGAGTTGTCTGAACCCCCACATTTATTGCAGCTCAATTCACAATTTCCATCAACTGATGACTGGATAAAGAAAATGTGATACTGATACACACACACACACACACACACACACACACAATGGAATACTACTGGGCCTTAAAAAAGCATGAAATCCTATCTTTTGCAACAAAATGGATGCAACTGGAGACCATTATGCTTAGTGAAATAAGCCAGTCCCCAAATGACAATTATCATGTTTTCTTTGTGGTAGTTGATAAAGATTATTTTAAAAATATAGGAATGAAATTGACATCTTATGTTGATTATTGTTTATAGCCCTTGTCTATATTACTTTGGAACAGTGGTTTTTCTACTTTCTCTTGGTGAACACTATGGTCAGTGGTGCATTAAGCCTGTAATTATAAAGTAAATTGAAAGTGTGATATTGTAAAAAAGAAAAAAAAGGAAGGCAAGAGTGGGGATTGAGAGAGTAGGATGGAGGGGAGTATGGTTATCTTCTTAGAATTTTATCTATGATGTACATGAAATATGTTCTCTTTATATAAATAAAAATTTAAAAATCCTAATCATAAAATGAAGAATTTAGATTGGAAGATTAAATATCTACTCCAGGGTTAGAGGAATCAATTTTTTTTTAAATTTATTTACTTGAAAGGCAGAGAGACAGAGAGAGATGTTCCATCTGCTGGTTCACTCCCCAAATGTCTGCTGGCTTAGGCCACACTGAAGCCAGGTGCTCAGAACTCCATGCAGATATCCCACCATGAATGGCAAGGAACCAAATACTTCAGCCATCATCTGCTGCCTCCCAGGGTGCACACTAACAGGAATCTGGATCAGAAGTGGAAGAGCCAAGACTCAAACCAGGCACTCTGATATGAGATGCAGTCATTCATGCTAAGAGGTGACATAGGTACTGGGCTATAGCCTAGCAGCAGTGTGTGAATTTTGTCAATCATGCTCACTTTTTAAAACCCACTTCTTGTCTAAAATTCATCTTACACTTCTTAAAGTATGAGAATGGAGAAGAGTCTTAATCTATGAGACAAAGAAATGATATTTCCCTTTATTGAACAGTGACAGAGCATTCACTGCTTGCTGGGGTCATAGAAGTTGATGTAGATACATCCTTTATCATAAAAACTCCAGGCCAGATCAGGAATTCATAATTAAAGAGCTGAGCAGCAACACAATCACCCTACAGAGGAGGGTAGCTCATCTTGGGGAGAGACACAGATGACAAACTTCCTGGATTAGGTGTGTTCCGATTTGGTTTTGTTTCTTTGCTTCTGACTGATTTGCTTCTGTACATCTCTCTTCTGTCATTAAATCTCACATTATAGAGGTTATTTTTAGGGGTGGGAGTTTTCAAATTAACCCTTCCATGCACCTCCCCATCATCAATTGAGATTCACAGTCCTATATTAACCACACATTTTCAAATAGAAACTTCATATTTTCCATTTTTGTCTCCAAAGCACTTTTATGTCAAACGCTATTGCATTCCATTTATATCAACACATACATAACAAGTTTTCAGAATTTTTGTGTCTCTTGTTCAAGAGTCAGTGGGGGAAAAAAAGTCTGCTAACAAATAATATCTCCACATTGAATTAAATTCTTTTTGTCATGTCTTTAAACAAAAGTCTAAAATGAACAGCTTCTGCTACAGGAGCACAAAAGTAGGAAGTCACTCAGTTCATACACATCTCTCAGTATGTGCATGTGGACAAACAGATCACAGCACTTAAATCCAGTGTATCTAAAACCACCTTCCATCTTCTTCTTCACAACAATGGCCTTGCTTTGCTGTCTGGGACCATCACCGTTACGTCTCTATTCAACTTCGCATTTCTCATACCAACTCAGTCCTTGGACATTTTTAGTTTGTAATATCTCACATTATGTCTGCTCCTTCTGTCACCTTTCACTTAGCATCTCCCCCTGCCATCAGTTTTCATCATCCAAAATATTTTACATCCTATTTCTAGATGAATCAATTTAAACTGCAAAGCCAATTAGTTTGTTCCTACTGTTTCCTCATTCTGACCTACTCTCCTCTCCCATTGGTGAGTGGTAAGTTTAGCCTACCCCATAAATTCCAAAATAGTTCCCATCTCCTCCAGAAGAAGCCATTCCTGAACCTAACATTCCTGAAACTCTACCTTTAGAAATATGTATGTGGTCTTTGTTTCGTGCAATCATTGACTTTTTATTCTGTTCCAACTGTATGTTTATTACCCTTGTGTTTGTTGTGCTTCTCTTATCCTACATTGTCTAGTGCCCTGCACACTTGCCACTGGAGTAGCAGTCACCTGAAGGCAGAAATGATTTCTGTAAATGCCAGCATACACAGTGCCTTGCCCTCAGGAGCTTCCTAACAGCTTGTTGTTGCTAAGGTGATTTAAATAGAAAAAAGCAGGAGTGACCGACTATTTAATAATCAGAATCTTTGCAGTCTCTCTGAGACAGTACAAAATCTAGCACTCCCTCTTAGCTCTCAGTAAGACAGTGCTGGCAAGGAGTTAGCCTGGCAGTTGAGGGCGCTGAACAAGAATGTGAACTCTGCAACAGGGTCTGACTCCTGGCCCTGCCTCACACCACCCGCACGATGTTGGCAGTGAACCGAACGACCCAATGAACTAGATCGATTCCACTCTTTTTCTGCTGTAGATAAAATGCTTGAAATTACTTTCATGTTTCTTATTAACAAATTCTAACTACAATAATTTCTATGAAAAGTCTCTTATAACCTTGACCATAAAAATCTGCTAGACTGGACCCAGGGCAATCTGTATTGGCAGCTGATCATCTCCTGCAATAGCGTCAGTCTCCAATCACTGCTCAAATACACTCAATCGATAGCACAATTGTGTCCTTCACCAAATTACAATTGCACAGTGAGACCAGCTGGTACCAGACACACCTTAAAGCCTTTCGAAGCAGCGATGTGGGCAGCAGTCCAGCCCTCTCTGTCGGCGTGGTTAATGAGATCTGCAGAAACAACGGGTTCGGATGTGCCTTCAGAACTCTCTTCCCCACCATCCCGGGCAAAGGCGCCCGATTCAGGCTCCTCCTCATTGGAAGAGTTCCCCCGAGCTGGTGCTTGATAGTACATGAGGAGCTTCAGGCTGTCCACATTACCAGTGTCCACAGCTGCATGCACTGGTGTCCAGCCATCCTGAAAACAAAATGACAGAAGGGAAACAGTTGATAATGGTATGAATGTTGAGAAGTCTTACGTTAAGTTCTCCTCTAAAAGTTCTTACCCTCACCCCAGGAATCAGGAACTGAATCAGGATCTCTGGGGAGTAGGGTTGGGGTGGGGGAAGACATCCACAATCAGTTTTAAAAAAGCCCTCCCCTAAAAGGCACCAAAGTTTGACAAGCACTATGCTATGATTCTACGGAAAATCTTTCCATTTATAGTCTCTCATTTTGATATACTCATTCATAGAGTTTGTCTTTCTTTTTAATATTTATTTATTTGTTTGAAAGGCCAAGTTACAGAAATAGAGGGAGAGACAGAAAAACAAAGAGATCTTCCATATCCAAAGGGCTTCAGTGGCTGACCTGGGCCAGGCTGAAGTCAGGAGACAGGCACTCCTTCTGGGTCTCTGACGGGGTCACAGGGGCCCAAGCCCTTTGGGCTGTCTTTGGCTGCTTTCGAATCTGAATCGTAAGCGGAGCAACTGGGACTTGAACCGGTTGGTGCTCATATGGGAGGCTGGTGATGCAGGTGGGGTGCCTAACCTGCTGCACCACAATGCCAGTCTCTCGGTCTACCTTTGATTCAGGTACTCATCTTTATTAGTTTTTAAAATTTTTTCATAAAAGCACAGAGCTTTGTTTTGGTGACTTGAATTTTGGCTTTATTTTTTAACCTTTGTTTCTCCTTTGACCTAATTGTTTAGTGTAGTATGTCATATAACTATACTAAATATACTTTGGTGAGGTTCAGCACACTTTAAAAACTAATGGATAAGAAGGCAAAAAAAAAAAAAAAAAAAAAAAAAAAAACCAGATGATGAATAGCAGCCATCTTTAGACTGAGCCATTGAATCATTTGCTAATGTTTTCCTTGTTGGTTCTGTACCTACACCAATGAAGACCCCCTGCCTAAACAAGTGCATGGCTGAGCACTGACTAGCAAATGGAGTCGAGTCCTTGGCCTCCTATCACGTAAAGCAGAGTCACAGCTTGTTTTCCATTGGTTGCAGAGAACTTTACTCAGAGTATCAGTCTTTTATTTATTTGCTTTCGGGGAATTTTTTTAAACAAAAAATTTTTAATTGTAAGATTTAATAATTTTTAACATTTTGAACATTGGCTTCATATGTGGAAATTATATACATATACATATATACTATTTTTCTCATAAACAGGGATTTTATATCATAAAATGTGGGAGTATCACTCATATAGGCACCAAGTAATAAGAATTTTTTCAGGCCTCTCTCCCTTACATTAAAAAGCCATACAGCTCATCTTGAAAAATTTGAGTTTCCCATCATCCTTTGATTTTTTTTTTTTATTAAAAGGCACAAGAACCCATAGGGTTCCTTACCTGGCAATTCTAACAACTGTGAATCAAAACGCTTAAATAATACTAACAACTCCATCTGCTCTGAAATTGTCATTATTGCCTAAATAGGACAATATAACAACTATTTACATAGCATATTCTATTAGGTAAAATAAGTAATCTAGAGATACTTGAACTATATTGGGTAGTGTGCAAAGCTTATATTCACACACCATTCACACATGCCATTTTATATATGGGACTTGAACAACCATGGATTTTGTTATCCACAGGGGTGCTGGGACCAATTCCCCATGAATACTGAAGGGCAGCTGTACCCAGCTTATTATATCCCTGCTTATATCATTAACCGTTGGTTCCCTTAGGCAAAATCACTTACAAAAACCCAAAAAATAATCTAGGATTATTATTTTTTGAATGAATAAAAATGTATACTTCATTGTCTCCTCGAATTCTCAAAGTTGTCAGGACATGGTATTTGTTTTAATGTTTTACAGGTGAATGATCTGGATAGGCTAACAAACAGGGCTGTTAACTAGTCAGGAAGGGACTCAGAGGTTGGATACTTTCCAAATCCAATCTCCTAAAAGCAAAGTAAAACAAAACAGCAACCTCTGTTTGAACGTGCAGTTGCCTTTCAGTACCATGGGGAATTCCAGGACCCCATCCCAGGATATAAAAATGCAAACAATTTGTACATAACCAATATATGTCCTTTCCCACCCTTTATCTCTAGATTATTTATAATTCTCAATACAATGGAAATGTTATGCAAATACTTACAATGTACTTTTCAGGGAATAATGACAAAAAAAAAGTCTATACCTGTTCATTACCGGTGCAATTTTCCAATCCGTGGTTGGTTGAACTGCAGATGCAGAAGTGTGGATATGGAACTCATGGATGCAGAGGACCAACTGCGTTTTGGTTTTCTAGCTATAGAGTTTGCAGAGATCTTGCAAATTACATATGTGGAGAGAGAGAGAAAAAAAAAAAAGCTCTGGTACTCACTCTGGTTTTTATACTTCGGTCAGTTCCAGCTTCCAACAAGAGTTTAATACAGTCTGTATTTCCATTTTTACAGGCCAGGTATAGAGGTGTCTGTCCTCCATCAGCAGCATGATTGACATCAGCATCAGATGCAAGTAGTAATTCTAAACACCTAGACACAAGATTGTGGTTAGTTCTGTAAAATCTGGTTTGACCTCTGAACCACCACCTGACCCACATTTGAAATTCAGAAAATAATGCTAAAATGATTTGCAGCTTTAAGTACCTCAGGTACTTTATCCAGTCTTTGAGATCTTATATACTCTTTTTTAACAAGGCTAGAGAACACATTTTAATCACAAAATTGGATTATTTCCATGGAAATTTAAAATAGGCTTGATCAAATGCTAAAGCCTGGTTGACATTTTTCTGTAACCAACTTATAAATCTGGAGTCCTTATGATGAATGGTTTCACTGAACTTGATATATATATATTATAAATATATATGTTATTTGTGGTTCAAAATACTATGAAACTTGAAAAAAGTTGGGCTGTTTAGTCATTCCGATATTTTCCCTTGAGAAAATCATTACAAGTAGTGCAGACAGCAGGGCACCATGCTCCTGCTCTATGCAAGGCAGCAGGGAGGCTGAGCAGAGGGGCTGCCTTGGGAGAGAGACAGCACAAGTTGCTCTGTGTCCTGAAGGCGGCAGGGGAGGAAGAGTAGGGGGAAAATGACAACTAATCAGAAGTTCATTGCCCTGAAAATCAAGAAGGAAAGAAATGAGGTCAGAGCTTTGTGACACGGGGCCGGCACTGTGCTGTAGTAAGTTAAGTCTCTGCCTGCAGAATCGGCATCCCATATGGGTGCCAGTTTGTGTCCTGGCTGCTCCTCTTCTGATCCAGCTCTCTACTATGGCCTGGGAAAGCAGTAGAAGATGGCCCAAGGCCTTGGGCCCCTGCACCCACGTGGAAGACATAGAAGAAGCTCCTGGCTGCTTGCTTCGGATAGGCCCAGCTCCAGCCATTGAGGCCATTTGGGGAGGGAACTGGCAGATGGAAGACCTCTCTCTCTCTCTCTCTCTTTCTCTCTCTCTCTCTCTAACTCTGCCTCTCAAATACATAAATATAATCTTTAAAAAAGAAAAAAAGACTTTGTAACACATAACACCTACCTAAACACCGAGAACTTGAGTTTGTAACATTAGTTGAGAATACATTTACCAAAGAAAGTTAAACCATGATCAAATTAAGAAGTGATTCACATCTTTTTTAAAATGCAGATGTATTTTTTTTCTTATTTTTTCTGGGAAGTACGTGGTTTATATATTTAATTTTAAAATAACTTACATACTGATGGACGTGTATATTGTGTCTATCTATTTAAATTAACTGATCCATAGTTTTCCCTAGGGTTCTTCCTCTTTATAAAACCATCCATGCCAACATTCCGGTGATGGTTATACTTTCTAAGCAAATCACCTCCAGAGGGCCTGGTGGCAGGTATTGGAAAAATGACAACCAAGAAGGAGAAATCCCTTTTGGAGGACTTGGGGTATTCTGAAAAGGAGCAGCAAAATCAGTGTCTATAGCTCTCATTTACAAACTCATGGCGATGTGTTAGGTACACAGAAAAAATAATTCAATAATTAGGGCTGCATACTAATTTTTAGAAAATATACATCTATGATCAATAACATTGGTGCAAACCTTAAAAACCCCATTTCAGGGGCCAGCAGTGTACTACAGCAGGTTAAGCCACGGCTTGCAAGCTGGCATCCCACAACAGAGGGCCAGTCTGAGTTCTAGCTATGTTGCTTCCAATCTGGCTCCCTGAAAATGCGCCTGGGAAAACAGCAGAGCATGGCCAAGTGCTTGGGCCCCTGTTGCTGATGTGGGAGACCCAGATGGAGTTCCAGGCTTCTGGCGTTGGCCTGGTCCATCCCCAATTGTTGCAGCCACTGGGGATTGAACCACTGGATAGACAATCTCTTTTTCTCTGTCTGCCTTTCAAATAAATAAGTCTACAAAGAAAAAAATTTCGAGAATTTTGCAACTTATTAAGAACATTTCTATCAGCAAGTTGGATTAAAAAACTGAAAACAGCTTGCATTCCCCTCAACCTGCGATTTCAGCTCAGGGAAAGGATGTAACACAGCTAGACTATACTTAATTATAAAAATATGACTTTCAATTTTTAAAAGTTGTGCCTGTATCTAACCGATTTAGTAAGCTACCCAAGAGAGAGTTATGTGTATTTTAATTAGCAGGCTCTCTTTGTCTTTATGCTGGAACTACTTTTAGCAGATAAAATTCCTCCTTCAACTATTAAAAAAAAAGCAAGAGGAATAAATGGGAGTAAATTGCCACTAGAAAGTTAAGATTATTACAGATAATTGTATGTGTTACTTTTAATGCCAACATCAGTAGAAAGCCTTTTTTTTTTTTTTTTTTCTGGATTAGAGTGGTGGAGAAGAGGGAACAGGAAAGTTCTCAACAGGCTCTGATCTCCTGATCCGTGTGCTGAGAGGCTCCAGGTCATCTTAATCAGAAGTAAGTTCTCTCGTGGGCTGTTGGATGCAGCTCATTTCTCTTCTCCACTTCCCTCATATATAACTACTTCACTATTAAGAAAAACAAATTTAGGATCCAATTTTGTGTTTCAATCCTCAAAACATGTTTTGTGAACTTCTCCATGGATTTGATGCTCTAGTTTACATCTTTAGCTGGAACTAAAAATGTACATAAAATACAAACACACACACACACAATGAGGAACACCACTTACTCGAAATGTCCCTGAGCAGCTGCGGCACACAAGGGTGTGAAGCCGTTCTTCTCAGCAGCATTGACTTGGGCTTCTGCATTCAGCAGCAATCTCACACAGTCTATGGATTTTCAATGCAAAGTCATTTCATTTTCCCATTCAGAGTTAGAATGGACCAAGTTGTACGCAAGCTGCACATAGGTTCTAAACCCAGAGGGCCTCTCCCCTGCTCAGTTCATCTGACCATCCCATCGTGGCACCTGGGAGATGCCACAGACTATTACACAGGGCGGGTAGCTTCCACTCCCAAAGACTAACAGCCCAGACTCACCAACTCAGACATGACTTTTCTCAGTGCTTTGGGAGGAGTTGCTGATGAGAAAAAGGAATGTCATGTGCCAGAAAATGCTTTACCAGATTTTTTCCATCAGCCTACCCAGAAAATGTTTTTGGACAGAGAAACAAGCCCATTTACCAAATTGAAATACCATTCTTTGTAATTACATAGTTAAAGTATTACTTCAGAATGTCTAGCTTCATCATTCAATGCTTTTTTTATGTTTCCCTTCCTGTATATACCTCCATAAACGAAGCTAAAGGAAAGCCCATAGAAAATCATTGAAGTCAGGCAAAAATATCACCTAGAAACAACATTGCTTGTGCTAATTACTGGATTTAATTTCTGCATCCTGCAGTGCTTTGGCAGGAACAGTTTAAAAAAACTTTAAAAATAATGAATTCACTAAGCTCACTAGAATCTTCTTTCTATCTGAATTAATCAACAATCACATGGCTCACATATGCAGTGCTATCTGACTTTGCAGACGAAAACCTATTTTTCTTTACTACCATATGTTCCAGTGCATGGAACTTTAGGATTTGCATTTTAATGAATAATTCCTAGTCTTCCTGAATATATCATTTATAGATGCATAACTTCTTGGTTCTCTTAAAAAATCCAAATTGTTCCAACTATAGAATTTCAGACCAACGACGTTCTCTAAGGACTAAAATCTCCCCTCACAGGAGAATGTGCTAAGCACTGATGCTTTGACTTTTCCCCCATCAGGTATTTCTATTAGACAAATGAGGGCTATTTTGTCCAACCCGAGTGATTGCAGATGGAGGGCTTCATTCAAAAATGTATTTTGCAGTTGCTAGGCTTTAAGTTTCTACGTGCACAATACATTTCATTGTGCATAAAATAATTATTATGTTTTGCTAGCTGCAATAAGATGTTACTGTAAGGAAGTATACAATTGGAATTTTCTAATGTTTAGAAAAACTTTGACTGTCATGAATAAATTCTCCACTATGAGGGCTGGTATTTTGGTGCAGTGGATTAAACTGTGGTTTGCAATGCTGGCACCTTCACATCTGAATTAGCTCCCTGCTGCTGCACCTGGGACAGCAGGCAAAGATGGCCCATGTACTTGTGCTGCTGCCACCCATTTGGGCACCCAAAAGGAGCTTCTGACTCCTGGCTTTGTCCTGCCCTAGCTCAAGTTGTTGCAGCCTTTTGGAGAGCAAGCTAGAAGATGGAAAATCTTTCTCTCTCAAACTTTTCCCACCCACAGTCCCCCATCACTCTGACTTTCAAATAAATAAATACCTTAAAAAAGAATTTCTCCACAACTAAGATAATACTGAAATCCAAATTTATGTTAGTTCCTGACAATGGTAGCGAGGGCTTTGCCTGCCCATCCTTCTGCGTATAGAGATGAAGAGGCGAGAGCCTGCTGGTTTTACCTGCATGTCCATTCGTAGCAGCAGAATACAAGGCAGAATGGCCATCTTCACAGGAGTAATTAGTGTCCAGTCCTTCTTCATTAAGCAGCATTGATAATAAAGTGACATTTCCCTGGGCAGCAGCTTGCTGAAGAAGGGTGGGCCTGCCAGCCAGGGGGGCAGGACCACCACTCATTAGCAAAGGGGTTAGGGAGGGTGACCAGCCTGTAGGTTAAAGTGACTCTCGTTAGAGAGTAGGAGCAAGGACAAGAGACAGCTATTACCTGTTCCTTTCTGAATTGCACACGCACACACACATATACCCACACACAGATGGACACGTATCCCTAGAGGATTATGTGTTTTCTAGAAGGTTCAATCTGTTAATATGTACTTAGGATGAATTTGTCCTGTTATTCCAGAGCTTACATCCATTGCTAATTAAATTAATGCATACACAGTGACAGGTTATTTTAGTCATCGGTTTTGTACAGGTCAGTGTTAAAGTGGTGACTGGTTTTAGGAAACTGAGATGGCTGTCTCATTTTAAAGGTCTAATTCCCCTTCAAGATCTCAAAACAATTTGAGCCTTTTCATTATGTAAAAGTTTCCTCAATGTCAATATAGATTTGCAAAAGCAAACTGGCATTTTCAGGTAAAAGACAGAAATAGTTGTAAGCAATAGAGATTCTCCTTTTTCAGTGATGGCCCTTAAAGTACTTAATAATCTCACATAAATGAATATAGTCCAATCACTGTCAAAAAATCTGTTTACATCCCTTGAATTCCCTTATTTGGGACTAATAATAACGGGGCCAACCATTCTCTGGTATCAAGAACTAGTAGAAATACGACACTTAATAAGTAGATTCAGAATACACTGGTACACATAGTCCATACCCAATTTTGAAGACTGTAAAATCACCTGGCCATCTTTACAACATGACTAACAAACTTTTAATCAGTCAACAAAACAGGACACTCTACCATACAGTTTCAACAAAGATCGTAAGAGTTATCATAGTTAGAGATTTCTCATCAGTATTTAGCAGCTTTAGAAGGGAATCTGGTAAGTGTGTGAAGTCGGCTGTATATAGCATGGAAAATTTTCTGAATTCTTCCTTGATCAAAAGGCTGTAAAAACAGTAAAGTAAAAATGTTTATTTAATGTGATATATTGGATTTTGTGTATTTTAGGCTGAAATACAATGAACGTTTAAGAAGTCATTTTACTTTATTCCAAGCAGGGGTGGGGGATGTCTGGTCCACAGGCCATATATGGCCCATGAAATCATTTGGTCTGGTCCTGCCAAGGGAACCACAGGTGGGACTCGAAATTCAATAGCAGGCTGATTTTTCAGTTGATCATTGTGTGCTGCCCTGGAACAATGTTCTAAATAACCAAATGGCCCCTGGCAGAAAATAAGTTCCCCAGCCCTGATTGGAGCCTCAGCACCTCTCCGTAATTTTGTTATGCATATGTATAAATATTCATTCTTTTGGTCACCCTTTCCACATCTAAATGCTAACATTCCCTTTAGAAAGGCCCACATTATGGATAGTTTATATCTCCTGCACAGTGGTATTAGGACAATATTCTGGGCATTATCATGTGTGAATATCCAGTGCTTATGAATGAATCCTAAATTATTGACCTTAAATAATCTTAATAAATATTAAAAGGTACTTATCAACTTAATTTCTCAGGAGTTTTAAAATTCTTTATGAAAAACAAAATAAAACCATTTATACAAGTTCAACTTTACTGCTTATTAAAAGCTAGATATCATATCTCCATAATCAATTATCTGGGTTCACAAATAAATTATTATTAACCTCTTAGTATTGTAGAGACATACAAAATTAAAATGCCCAAACATTTCAATATTTAATCTAAACTGCATGATATTTTCCCACTGATATTCATTAGCTCTTCTTACAAAAGTAATACTTTTACTTCATACTTACAAGAAGGCTCCTCTCTGGTACATTTTACCTTTTGTATTTTCTTAAAAACAAACAAACAAAAAAAACAGGCCCACAAAAATTAAATCAGTACTTGTTAGAAATGGATGAACAGAGAAATTATAAACACCAAGGTATGAAACCTTGACTGCAAAGCAAACAGGCAATAGGAAGGCATCGCACGATGGTCCTGTGGATCTGAGGAGTATGGCACGTGCTCTCATGCTCTCCCCCTCTCTCTCCCCCTTCTCTCTCTCTCTCTCTCTCTCACACTCACACTCACACTCACACACACACACAGCACTCACACACACACACTCAATCATTCTTTCAGACTTTTGATCTTGTACAAGGTTTTTGGTTATTGGTATTCTCTTATGAATACCAACATTTATATATAAAAGTTTGCTCTTCTTTTGGGTTTTATTTACATCTTTCTTTATTCACAATTCTGGGTTTTTTGCAGAGAACAGTTTAAATGTATTTTCAACTGCTTTATATGGAAATACATAATGATGGTAAAACTTCCTGGGAAACCTTATTTTAAGTGTTCTTATCTGAAATATAAAATAGTCTATTCACAATGTTTCTCAATCTTTCAATCAGTGAAGAGTCTGAGATTCTTCTATTACACAAAAGTACAGAAGATGACATGCCAGGACTAAAATATATTTTAAAAATCTTTATAAAAGAAAAGTGTTTTATATTTCTTGTGTATTCATGAATTTTAAATCTTCACTATAATTTTCAATTTTCTCTAGCACAGAAAAGCTTAGTTTTATGAGTCCTGCTATCAATATGGGGAAAAACGAAAAACTTCATTATGAGACTATACTGTTCATCTGAAATCCCATCCATGATCAAAATGGTAATATATAGATAACTGGTCCTGTAATGGCAGAGCAGACCTATATTGAAACAGCTACCCTAGTGATGTGAGAGGAAGGTCACTCAGCCTCGCCACGTGGCATGCAAACATTAGTAAGAGTGAGCATTTGCAGAGCATGCCAGGAGGGGAGGAATGGACAGGGCATGCAATGGCATGGAAGAGTACTTGCAAACAGCTTCTGGCATCAGCTTCAGAGGGTGAAGAAGGTTAATGTCATAGCCCAGGTCATTCTTATTTTCTCGTTTAGCCTTTAAGCCAATCTTACATAGCAAATAATTTTAAAAATACATGTTTAATGAAGTGAAAGTGTCCGAAGCAAATTCAATCAAATGTGTCAAATAATAATAAAACAGAAGAAAAAATTCCAAGGGTATGGAAACTCAGCTGCCTGCTGTCATTTCTAGCTGAAATGTGCTCATTTGACTAGTTTAGTTAAGAATAAGAAATTCTAAGTCATTCTGAATTTAAGACATTATTTAAAATTTTAACATTTGGCCATAGATGTTGCCCAAAGAGTTAGGGTGATTCACGACATGATTCAGTAAACTTCATTCCAATGCTCCTCGTGGATCCACTTAAGACAACTGTTACAGATGTTGGCTGGTACAGACACACAGAACCCTAGAGTTGGAAAGATCACGGGATCTAGTAGTTGTGTTGTTTGAAAAATCAGCCAACTTTAAGACATCTTTTGGTTTGGAAAGAATAGTAAATTTTTTGGTTCAATGCTTTCACTTTTAGGTAGAAAAGCTAATTATAGCTCAGGGAGACAATTAGTTCTCCAGGGGAGGAAATTGATGAATCTTCTTTCTTACACTGAATTCAGTACTCCTTTGATCAGGAAAATGGAAACAGACATCTGCCAGGTGTTTGGGAGATGTGCCCTCTCCCCACACCCTGCTCATAACAGCCACAATGACCTCAGTGGCTGTTTAGGTTAATACCTCCAGTGGGCTTACACCCTTGGGGAGCACAAGCTCACCCAGGCACAGACAGGTCCAGGGGCAGGATGGAGGGAGCACTGGTGCTTCCCAGTTGCAACAGGAATGGTGGTAAAGACAAGGGCAATCTAAATGGAAAACAGACTTGGAATCTGGTGCCTCATCTGGAAAGTTCAGACTGACGTGAACTTTCCATGGCTGTTATACAGCTGTGTACCCCCAATGTGTAAAAAAATTTCCATTCTCTGAACAGATGAGGTGTTCGTAAACTCTTACTGAAGGACTAAAGTCTCCAGTGCTTCCGCACCTCCCTAAGAAGCCAGATCTTACAATCGAAGGACATCCATGGACACCTGTCAATTCACCAGAGGTAAGTACCAAGCAATTTTGAGAACACTTTGGCCAAATGTGAAAATCAGAGAATAGAAGAAAAGGAACCAATTTCAAGGGCATTATTTTCATAGCACCCAGGGTTTATTTATCCAAAGTTCAATGATATCCTAGGCAGATCATTCTGATGAATATAGATATCAGGTTAAAATTCTTTGTCTTTAAAGGTGAACTGAAAATCCTCTTGACAAACTGGCTTGTCAGTCACGGATCCTGCTCTGCTGAACCCAAGGGGCAGTTGGACCTGGAGCCACAGAAATGACCACAGCAACAACTGACAAAGCCTCAAGACATCAAAGCAAAAATAAGTTTGCATTTTTAAAGACTCCCAAAACATACATCCTCAAAAGTATTCTCTATTTTGTAAACAATGCAGCTCTGTCATTAGCACTGCCACTGCTCCAAACATTTTTAGAATTTCTATTCTGTGATTGTCTAACAATCTTATAGTACGTGCTCTTATTCTCATGAGCAGTAGCAAACAACTCCTCTTATGAAGGTGGATTTAACTTGAGAGAAATATACAATATTATTTTAGGCCAAAATAAAGGTTGTTCAGCTCAGTAATACCATCTAGACAAAAAAAATGGATTGTTGACTACTTATGAAGACATCTAAAGTCAATTCTAAAGCAAATTCTCAAAAATGCTGAAAGCAAAGCGGTATCCTCAAAGCAGTACTGTCATCTCTATTGACTGATTGCCTGGGTCATTCCAAGCTCAATACCACGCTCACTGATGTGTTACAGCATTTGACCCTCCTAACAGCCACCCTCCACATAAAAGCAGCTCAAGCTCCATAGTAAGAAAGTGGAAACTTGCTCAGTTGCAGAAAAATCACCAGCAATGCAGTTGTAAGTGGCACAGCCTGGATTCCAAGGGAGATCTGACTTAATTTCAAAGTCCATGCTATAGGTCAGTCCTGATGTGCTGTTCAAATCACCTGAGAGTAAGCAAATCAAGTGGGTATTTTCCAGTTCCTACTCTCCCCTCTAAGTTTTAAAGTCAGCACTATTCAACCCTTCTTTAAGTTAAGTTGCCTGCCATTAGAATCGCCAGTCTCCACGAAGCACTCAAATCTGATGGTGGGAGAGACACCTCTCAAGCTTCAACAGAACTCTGGCACTCTCAGGTTATTTTGGGGCATCTTTGCTCTGTGACAAATTAATCCAGGCATGTCAATAAAAAAGCAATGCTTCCCCCAGCTCTGCACAGCACAAGGGAGAAACTGCCATTCTTTGTTCCAGAGTCCCAGATACAGTGACTTCACAAACCGCATCTGCAACGGGAACCTTCTCTAACAAAACCCACGTGCTGCTCTCCATCTGTGGGCAAACGGTGCCAGGCAACAGCCCTCATAGGGTATACGGCTTGTGGGAGAAACTAAATTTAGAACAAAGATTTATAAATAATCACACTCCATCGTTGGGGGTTAAAAGACACAACAACAACAACCTCCCCCATAAAACTCACATTAAAGCTTAGTATATGCCAATTACAGAACAAATCTAATCAGTACAATCATCCAGGGTAGCGTTATCATTACTCAAAAGGATTTTTTGTGGTATCCTGGAAGAAACAGACCTGAAAACATCCTGTCTGTTGAGAGCCCACTAATATTGCAGGCTTGGGAGATAAACATTTAATAAGGGGGAACCCTCCTTCCTCCCAGGGAAATGATTTTAGTCCCTAAATTAATGGTCTCCATGTGCATCAAACCACGACTTTCAGGTTATTTTACAAGAAGAAAGCACTTAGCCCAATGAAACTGTAATTCATACAGCAAGATGAATCACCATACCCTGGAGCCTTTAAAGAAAAAGACAAAAAAGAAAGACATCAAGGGGGAAAAAAGCATCAAATTAAAAATAAAACAAAACAAAAAGATTCCCAGGTAATGTGGAGGAAATGAAGGCAAGTGAGAGGACAGGTCGCAATCTTTAAAAAAAAAAAAAAAAAAAAAAAGGCTGTAATATTTCAATCCCTTTACCTGATGCTGTTACCAGGAGGCTGTCTGAGGCACCTGGCCTACTGGTTGAGGCACTAACAGGGTTTATGGAAGAGCGAAAGGCAATGGTGTTGGGAATGACAAGGGAACTGTCTGAACATGCAGGTGGCTTCAGTCCAAGGGTTTCAGCAGGCCAGGCACCCACCTGAGACGCAGCCAGGGCGGAAACGGCACAGCCTGCAGGTGCCACAGTTAGCTCTATGGACGGCTTTGGTGGCAGCTGAGGGGAGGAAGACTTAGGGGGGTTCTCTTCCGTAATGACCCTGCTCCCGGGGGGCAAGCTGGAAGGAGGCGAAGCCACAGTTTTGTTTTCAACTTTGGCCCCCGCACTGGAGGCCCTGCTGCTGTCCACCGGAATCTTGAGTTGGGGGTGGGGTGGAGAAGGCGTCTGGGACAGCCCTGGTTTTTTCGGGGGGATGGGAGGAGGATTTCCTCTATCGACTCGCGCTCCGCCGGGAGTCTTCAAACCACTCCGACTGACTGGAGGGTGGGTGGCCACGTCCCCTGTCGGGGGCACTCCCGGCCTGGGGGGAGTACCCACTTGAGGACTTGTGAACCTCGACAGAGCTTGGGTCACAGTGTTCCGAGCTAGCTGTTTGGCCACTAGGTTGTCGCGACTTGTAGGAGAGACGTCTCTTGATGGAGGACTCTGGGTGGTGTTTCCATTTTGGTCGGGGTCGTTTGCGTTGCCTTGAAATCTAAACCTGGCTGCTTGGATGCGTGGGTTGAGGCCTGGATGCAAAGCCGTGGTGGCACACGGTGAGTGTAGGCCGTGCCCAGGCGCTGCGGGCACAGGGCTCTGGGTGGCCACCCCAGGCGCGTGAGCCGGGGCAGGAGTGGTGCCACTGGGAATAGGGGGCGTGCTACTTGTGAGATCCGGTGTGGAGCCAGGGCTTGGTCCATTCGCCTCCATGCGGCTTGCACTTGCAGCTGGGATGGTGGGTGCAGAAGAGCCCATTAAGTCCCCGTGGGAGGCCTGCCTGTCCATACCTGGTCTGCCCGGCGCGGCGTGGGGGCACACGTTCCCTTTTGTGTTGGCAGACACGAGGGGGCTCCCGGCCGAGGGCTTGGCAGGTACCGTCAAAGGCAACTTCCTCACGTGGTCAGTGCTTTCGGTCACTGGGTCTGTCTGACAAGCAACAGCCCTCGTCACCGGTCCTTCGGTGGCCACAGACACAGAAGCCAGACGCCTGTCTTTTGTCTTGCGCGGGAGAGACAGACTCGGTTTGCTGTCGCTCCCCCTTTTCAGTTGCTCGATCATCTTCTTCATCTTGTCTATCTCCTCTTTGAGGTCGGTGGTGTGGGCTTCCTCTCGGTTCAGCTTGGCACGCAGCTGCTCCCGTTCCGTGTCGAACTCGGAGAGCTGCTTTTCCATCTGCGCTTCCATCTCGGCGCTTCGGCGTTTCTCAGTGCACAGCTGCTCTTCCAAGTCGTTCGTCTTCTTCTTCTCCTCTTCCAGGCTGGCCATGACCTCCTCCAGCTTCTGGGCCTCCTCGATGACCTTGCCCGAGAGCTGCTTACACTCCTTCACCAGCATCAGCACCACGTGCCGGTTCTTGCCGCGCTCCTCCTCCAGGCGAGCCGCCAGCTTCTGGTGCTCCTGGTCCAGGGCTTGCAGCTGAAGCTTTTCCATTTCCAGCTGGAAGAAATCCGCAGGAAAACCCGGATTAATTTAGTGAACATTCTCCCCTCTGCCCAGAAGTGCTTTTTCTGTGACTTTTATTGATTTTGTAACCATTACATAGTTGGCATTGGAAAAAGTGCCACATTTTCAACATGTTTTATGAGAGAATAAAGTTGCATTAAAATGATAATAGGTATAAATGGTCTTGTGAAAAACATAAGTTACAACAATGGGGAAATTTTAAAAATCTGTTAACATTAACTACAGGAAGAGAACAATAATCAGATACTTCCAATCACAACATGGAGTTCAAAAATGTCTGTTTTTATAAAAATATAGCTCTGTGAGGGATCTAATGAAATAAAAATGAAAAGGTTTAATGATTTGAAATTACTAACTGGGGGCGGGCATCTGGTGCAGTGGTTAAGATGCTGCATCCCAAATCAGAGTGCCTGGATTCAAGCCCCAGGCTATACTTCTAATTCCAATCTCAGCTCCACTTCCAGTTCCAGCCTCCTGCTAATATGCACCCTGGGAGGCAGCAGCTGATGGCTCCAGTACTTGGAACTCTGCCACCCACATTGAAAATCTGGATTCTTAGCTTTGTCTTGGCCCATCCCTGGCTGTGCAGGCATTTGGGAAGTGACAGCAGATAGGAGATATGTCTCTTTCTGTCTTTCAAAGACAATGAAAATTAAAAAACAAATTAAAAATAAAGAAATTGCTAACTAGTTTTTGGGGTATAGAGGACCAGTTAAATCCCTAGCTCCTGTATGAGGGACTACAAAAAGGGCATTGAAAATAAAATTAAAAGAAAAGTTTATTTTGTGCCAAAAAAATTTTAAAGCCCGTGTTTAGAAGTCTTCAAGTTCATGAAATGCATCAATCATGAAAAAAAAATGCATAGATTTCAAAACTTTGGTAAGTAATCTAATTTCTTTGAGCTTCTTAGGGTAGACTGTTATACAAATCGTATGTGAAAGTTCTTTGAAAACTACAAAGGCTTGAATACTACCTTAAAAAAACTATAATCAGTGACAGCGAACCCAAAGTCTGACCTTGTCTTCCATTTCAATCCCACTTGCTCTCACAGCTACATTGGTGGTCCCAGTGTTTCCAGAACATGATTCTGCCTCAGGGTCTCTGACCCTGATGTCATGCCTGCCTCTAATTCCACCACACGCTTTCCCAGAGTACTCCTGATGATGTGGCTTGTGCACTGCCCAAGAGGGACCAATGGCAGGGGTGAGTCAGAGCAAAACTACAGCTGTTCCCCATTCAGACTATTGGCCCAGTATGGGGTGGGTGCTACCTGCCTGCACAGGGTCATGGGGCTACCCTTGCCTTTGCTGTCACAGACAGTCTGCTTACCAGGCCACAGCCCCCTGGGACTGGTGCTTTCTGGAGAAGCAGCATTCTCTAATTGGAATACATGCGCCGCCCTGCAGCTACACTCTGCTAACACATTCCTGTAGGTTCTCCCTGCTCTGCTGTCGCAGGTGCCAGGGAAGGCCAAAGAACACAGCCTCAGCTGGGATGCAGCAGTCAGGTTGGCCCAAGTACCTCACCTGCCCAACCAGAGAAGCAGCCCAGCAGCACTCCCTCGGGATTAAAGCAGAGCTCCTCGATTAAAGACACGGAAAGGCCTTTGCTTTCTCGTCTCAACGTTAAACACAAATGCACTGCAGAGAGGATCTCTCAACGTTAAACACAAATGCACTGCAGAGTGGGTCAGCGCCTACGTTAGTCGTAAGAGTAAGGTGCTATTCTCACGACCTGTCAGGTGTGAGGACTACTGTTCCTCCTTCTGCTGTGAAAACTCACTGCCCATCTCCCTCACAGTCACACCGTCATGGCACCAAAAGGAGAAGACGCCTGGCTGCCCAACGCAAGGTCAGAGAGGGTGCTTATTTACTCTGGGACGCTTTCTGCTTTGAAGAAGAGTTGCTGAGTAGCATTGGGATGGATCCCACCAATGGGTGATCAGGGATAGAAGTAATTCCTCAAGTAATTACTTTTTATACTACTGTTTGAAAATTCAGGGGTTACTTCCTAAGTAGATCAGATAAGATTTGGGGCACAACAGTGCTGTCATAATACCATAATTTGTTTTATTCATATCTTATTCATATGGGTGCCTCAAACAAATTTGACTAAACCACAATTAACTCTTCTAAAAGGCATCACACAATAGATTGGAGTTAGGAGGCATATGTAAAAATGTAAAGAAAATTCAAAATATATTAACTGCAAAAAAAGAAAAAATCCTTAACAGCAATGTCAGAAAAAAAACCAAATGAGGTCTGATTTTAGCTTCACTTTAAAATACAAGCTTTACCATTTACTTCACTGTCGATTTTTAAGTGCTATCCTTGCTTTATAACACAACTACTAAAGGCCAACTTAGTAGCTTCCCTCCTGTCAGGTGGCTCCTCGGGGTTTGAGTCAAGGTGTTCATTCAGTGTCCCACTGGTCTCAAGCTCACACAGTGCCCAGGGTGTCTGCTACGGACCATCAGGCTACTTCACTTTTCCAACAACTTCCTCCTGTACTTCAGAATCAAACCCAAGAGTTCCACCTGGAGAACAACTCGACTCCTCCCTGACATTTATACAAGCACACAACTATGAAAGCCTCCATAATTCTTTTCATCTTTGTCCTTGTAGCACTTGTCCTAGCTCAGTGTACGTCTTTTTGAATCCTATCACCTCGCAGCAGATGCACTAACAAACAGATATCTCCAAACTCCACCGAGATAAGAGCACCAGCCATCAATCACTCTGCCTGACTTTGCTCAGCCTCCTCTGTGTATACTACAGGGCATATTTCAAACTTCTGCCGCCCTTCTCAAAAATACCACCCAGTGACCACTTAACTGACTCTCAGCCTCACTCATTCCACCTCCATCTCCTGTCTCCTCCCTTAAGCTTTGCTTTAGAGCCACATCAATCCTTATGCCCTTCCCTTCAATTTAAGGGATAAAGGCTTCCATCTGTTTAATGTCAGACAATCCTTCAGCAATTAACTTCATCCCCTCCTGTCACTCTGGGGCTATCACCTCTCCATCACTATCACCTTGCTCTTCATAAATATTAAACATCTGCCATTCCACAAAGCTCTTTGCAGTCAGCATATAAAACTCTCCCATATTTAAAAAATAAGTTTTTTTTTCTATTAAAAACATTTCCATGGGAAGGGTATTTAGCCTTTAATAAGGGCATTTAGCAGTTAGGTTGCTTATTAAGATGCCTGCCTCCCACATCCTATTACCTAAGTTCAAATCCCAGCTCTAGCTGCTGACTCCAGTTTCATGCTAATACAAATGCTGGGAAGAAGCAAGTAATGGATCAAGTAATTGAGTTCCGGCTGTCCATGTGGGAGACAAGGATTGCATTCAACACCCACATTTGGCCTTAGTCTAGCCCTGGACATTGTGAGCCTTTGGGAAGTAAACCAGCAGATGGGAGTTCTCTCTCTCTCTCTCTCTCAATCAGTTGGTCTGCTCTCCTGCTGTGTCTTTGTACCTCTTAAGTGAATAAAAACTTAAACTTCCTTGACCTTTCTACTCCACATTTTTTTGCTTAAAAGACCAGGAGATATAGTATAAAGTTTTGTTTCAAATGTTATTAGCTATATGACTTTGCTAAGTTGTCTAAAGACCAGTTCTGTGTGGTTCCCCTATTTATACAACAGAGCAATAGTAACTACTTTATAATATCAAATGAGACAATGCACATAAAGCACAGAGCAAGTGCCCAGAACTGAAAGCATTTTCAATTCACTTTTAAAAAGATGTGACTTTGCACAGTGTGTTTTCCTCTGCAGAAACACTTAGAGGCAAGTACAGATTTAGAGCACAGACCATCTTAAACTCTAGATGAATGGTTTTTATAATTAGATAGGGGTTGTAGTTTCACAATTATTGAATATATCAGAGAAAATCCCAACATCAGTAATGGAAAAATACTTCTATTAAACAACCTCTCCTGAAAAGACTAAATATAAACTTTTGAAATAATGTAAAACATAATGGCTTAAAGACTCAAGGTCAATAAAAGGATTAACATGGTGCAGGGCTAAACCTTCCTATTAGAAATAAGCTAACTCCACAGCACTGGAGGACACCTGCATCCTGAGTTGGAATGCCTGGAATTCAGTCCTGGCTCTGTTCTCAATTCCCGCTCCCCGCTAAAGCACACTCTGGGAGGCAGCAGGTGATGGCTCAGGTAGTTGAGTCCTGCCTCTCATTTGGGAGACATGGACTGAATTCCTGGCCCCTGGATTTAGCCTGGTCCAGCTTCTGCTGTCACAGGCATTTGTAGAGTGAACCAGAAGATGAGTGATCTCTGTCCTTCTCTCCCTATCCCTCTTTCTCTGTCCTTCAAACAAAGAACATTTTTTTTAAAAAAGAAGCCATTTGTATTGGGTAAGATCTGCCATTGTGAAGTTTTACAATTACCCCAAAGGACAACTCCCATCTCAGTAGCATTGCCAGCTAAATCTCAAGCAAAGTATCAGTTATATTGGTTGAGTCAGAGGATAGAACTGGGACTGCCTAATTAACTTCACCTTCTTTGGACCTTAAATTACATATACATTCATGAGGGAAATCCAACACAACTTGACAGAACGTGGCTGCTGAATGGGTTGGGAAAAATGGACTATGGTTTCATCTGTTGCCGACTGAGACAGAGGTTATGAATCTAACTGGGTTAACTGCCTACTGGAATAAAGTACAAGTTTTCAAAAAGATAACAGAATCCAGAGTTTGTGCTATATCATTCCTAAAGTTCAATATATGATAAGAAAATTAGTAGACGTGCATAGAAGTTAATAAAGAAAAAGCAATCTATAGTCAAGGAAAAAGTAGTCAACAGAAACTGGGCCCAAGATGATTTAAATAAAAATGGCAGACAAGAATGTTAATACAGCAATTTCCATAGAATATACAGAGTGAATGTTGGCATAGAAATGGGAACTATATTTTTTTAAAAAAGAGCCAAATGGAAAATACA